GCAAACTCACTACTTCTCTCAAAAATCTGGTATGTCGCCTACCTAATGCCACCAAGCAAGAAGCAAATAGCAGAAATTAATAGGCTTATCACCTACTGGATCAAAAACAACTCCAAAATGCTTCTGAGGTACTCTACCTTCTAGCAACCACACGAACAAGAAGGCTTACAAGCACCAATAGTTAGCAATATGCTAGAAGCTAGACTAATCTTAGTCTGGATAAAACTAATCTCAAGTAATTTCCTGTAGACAAAAATAAAAAGAAAAAGAATCTCTCTTATACTTGACTAAAAAAGAAATATCTCAGCTATAAAAGTGTTTTCTACACAACCAATCAGGACTAAAGCATGGTCTACAGAATGGAAACCCTACCTCTTAGTATGGAAAAAAGCTAAAAGAGAGATTCTTACAGAATCCAACTGGCTCTGAAACCTCTTAGAACTAGAAATAGATAAGAAAAAAGGACCAAAAATTACAGTTAAACTTACGATAGAACTTTTAAGAAAACTTAACTTCAAGAACACAAATCCATTAGACCCTATAAAGCAAACTCAAAACAACAATTGAATTCTTCAAAAAGCAATACTTAACAGAAAAAAGGACATCTTCTGGTGACTCTTTCACAGAGCCCTACCACTAGGATACAGGCTTCATCACTTTGTAGCAACAGAATCAGGCGAATGCCCTTGGTGTTCAGAAAATATACAAACTATCGAACACTTTGCAACAGAATGCAAAATTAGTAAAAGAATCTGGATAGAAGCATACAAATTCCTAAAAACGGGCCAAACTGAATCTATACCAGACTCACTAGAAAAAATATTTCTAAAAAACATTACAAAGAAAACAAAAACATATAGGACCATATTATGGCTGCATACATATACTATATATGAAATCTGGTGCTGTTACGCTGCTTTTAAATGAGGAAATATACAATATCCAGAATCAGCAATCATAGCTATAGCAAGAAACAGAATCTCTAAAGAGATCAGTTTACTATACGACAAAAACTTTGTCAAACCTATTTATAGAAAAATATACAAATATTTAGTTTAGTAAATTCTTTAATGTGTAACTAACAATTTAGCAGCTATACTTAATACAAAGAGTGCCACATGCGCCCTATGATGATATCATCTGAGACAGTTAAAAAAAAAATATATATATATTTTATATAATTTTTATCTTTATATCTTGTTTATTTAGGTCAATATAAATTTTTAAAAAGTGTTTACAATAATATAATACCCTATTGTAGCTTTTATATACTAATCATACTGAGATCAAACTAATCAAATTAGTTAAAAAATAATTCATCCAATTTTTATGATAATAGCTATAAAAATCATTTTTATGTTTTAATAACCAGGTAAGTTTTATAAATTTTTAATATAAAAATTTAAAAAAAATCAGCAGCTGAGTTTGCTTAAAAGTTTTATATTATAAAAACTAAGATATTAATTTTGTATAACTTAATTAAAGATAGAGACACATAAATTATTTTTATATAGTAATATATGATTTATATATTATAGGCTAATTTAAATAAATTATAATTAGTATTTGTTTTTTTAAAAACTTTAAGATTAAATAACTTTTAATCTTAAAGCTTTTTAAAAACAATTTTATTATCATTGTATTTATTAGTTTATAACAATTCTAATAAACACAAAATTATTCAAATCTAATTACAAAATTATAAAATAATATGTGATTAAATAAGTGACTCACCTTGTATATTATACAATTGGATAAACTAAATCTAACTAATTGTATATACAATATGCAAGATGAGTTACTTATTTGATTATACATTATCTTATAATTTTGTGATTGAATTTAAATAATTTTGTTTATTAGAATTGATAAACACAATAATAATAAAATTGTTTTTAAAAAGCTTCAAGATTAAAAGTTATTTAATCTTAAAGTTTTTAAAAAAACAAACCCTAATTATAAATTACTTAAATTAGCTTATATATTACTAATAAAACTTTTTTTATTTTTATTTTTATTTATTTTTATTATTAAAACCAATGTTAATAATAGCTAATACCTTTATTTGTGCTTTTAGTAAATATATTATATATTACTTGTACAAGATGAGCATATAACTAGTCACATATATAACTTTTGATTATCTATTTAAGTAATCTATCTGAGAGTTCTATACTAGCTGTCATATCTATAATCTGCTAAAAGACTATCTAATTAAATACTCTGATTCTTATATTGTACTCAGACAATTAATTATTCTAGTTCCTATATATCTAAATGCCATCTAACCCAACATTTTGCCTTTCTTCTATATATTTGTTAAGTCATTATCTAATTTCAAAACATGTCACCTAACTATAAGACTTTAGAAGCCTTCTTGTTAACTACTTATCTATTCTATAAAATATTAACAGAATTTGTTTTTGTAGAGTTTACCTAGACCTTAGTACTTATTTCATAGCATATTCCTAGTACTTTTAGTATACTTCTGTATTTCTCTAAACTTCCAATTCAAATAGCTTGATAGAACTATAACTAGTTCATTAGTATATTAGATTGGCCTAATATCCTTTTTCTTTAGTCTTCCTAGTTGAACTTCTGATAATCTGATTGGTGATATCTTTCATTCAGAGGTTTTTGCCTGCCTGGATACTCCACATTGATATTTATTTCCTAGGTCTAGCCTTTATAATAGTATTATCAAAGATCCATATTACTTCTTTATTCAAGTCTTCTTAAATAAACTTCTTGTTTTCTAATTTCTATAGATTTATATAGTCACAAGATCTTATTTTGGGTTTGCATCACCTGATGCTAATTTGCATTTCTCTATATAATCAGTTACATAGATGCCCTATGACCTGTTAGTCATGCTAATGTAACAATAATTACAAGTACCTTAATCTAATTGTTAGAAACAATTGCTATAATATGAATATTATATAAATAATTATTCAATTTTTTATTGTTTGTAAGTTTTGAATTCACAACCTATTATTTGGAAGATTGACAACTTATCCACTTTAATAAGTCACTACATTTTTTTAATTAATTAATAATAATATAAATAAAATTATTTATTTATTATAATAAAATTTTAAAGTATTGTATTATTTTAATAAAGTTTACTTAAATGGTTAAAATTTACTTAAGTAGTACAAAAATGCAGAATTTTGATTAATTAATTTACATAAATCTATAAGTTAATTTTATTATATAATTTTATATCCTAATCTTTAATATTTCATATCTTAATGAGTTTTTAATCAATTTTAATAATTTTATTATCATTAGAATTAGAAAAGCCTACTCTACAACTTTTACTTAATATAATTTTTTATAAAATTAAATATAAAAAAAATTTACCATTAGGTTTATATATAATTTTAAAATACTACCCCCTACCCTTAATTTAAAAAAAAACTTTTAATAATTTTATTTATACGTATAATAGTCAAATGCTGATTGGTGATTAATAGGGTAAAGTTACACGAACACGGGAAACTTAGGATGATCGTCACGTGCGAAGAAAATTTCTTGTGGGAGAGCTGTGTAACTTCTAATCTACACCAATGTTTGATCAATGAGGATGAAATGAAATTTATTTATACATACACGTGCCTATGCATTTCAAAAACTTGATAACGATAATCGGTTTGTGTTAAATAATAATTATTTATTATGACGAGCAGAAAACGACCACCGACAAAACTTCGAGCTATTACTATTGAACCAAATTATGTGAATAGAGATGGCTCAGCCTTATTTAAATTTGGTATGTTAAATTATTCTATGTTTTGACGCATTGTTCAATAAATTTATCATGCTTTGAATCACATAACTATTAGGCGACTCTGCTGTCGTATGTTCAGTAAACGGACCGACTGAAGTTAAATTACGTGATGAGAAAGTGGATAAAGCAACAATCGACGTAATATTTAAACCTTTAGTTGGTTTACCTGGTATGTATATTTACTTTGCATATTTTTTTTTTTATTCGAATTAATTTTACAAAAGTGTGTATGGTTATAGGTACTAAGGATAAAACACATGAATATATTATACGTTCGACAGTTGAAAGTGTCATTAAATCAAATCTTTATCCAAGAACATTGATCCAAATTGTGTGCCAAGTAATGATGGATGATGGAAACGTATCCCTTTTTTATCGCAATATATGTCATTATCTTCTTGGTTTGCGAAGATTAAAATTATATTTGACTCTAATTATTGAATCAGATTTTAGCAACAGCAATAAATGCAACAACATTTGCTCTAATGAATGCCGGTGTTGAAATGAAAGATATTGCCGTAGCTGTTGCTTGTATTGTGAATCAAGACGGGAATATATTGGTTGATCCAAAATTACGAGAGGTCGAGGTTTGTCCAACGATTTTTCTTTTTAATAATTTGTCATATGTATTAGAAAAATTTCTTTGTCTCAACTATTATTCTAATGTTTGTAGAAAGCCCAGTCTTATCACACATTTGCATTTAGCAAAACAACATTTGGATTATTATTTTGTGAGTCTACAGGATTATTCACTGAGAAACAGGTATTTAAATATTCACATTCCACAACCTTTTTTTTCATAAATTAACCGCTTATTTTAATTATATAATTATTAGTACTTTGAGTGCTACGCACTTTGTAAAGTTGCTGCACAAGAAATAATAGATGAGATTCGCGTGAAAATTCAATCGGATTTCATCTAACGAAATTCTCTTTTTTAATCATACAAAGGGTACCTATAAAATCACGGACACATGTTTGTATCGAACCTTCTCGATAAATGTCACGTGTACCAGTCTATTTCATTAATTCATATAATAAACGGAGCGTAGCTAAGGACCTTTAATTTCTCTAATCATCACTGCATTAGTTACGTTTTGGTTCATTACCAAATTAAATATCAAAAAAGTTTAGATATAGTAAATATAACAATACTTTGAAATTATTTATATATTGATTATAATTAATTATCTACTTGTAACAAATTGTAATTAGGTTTCAATCTTTTCAGATATATAATAGTAAAAATTTTTAATTATAATAGATAAACTACTTTATAATAAATTCAAATATAAGTATTAGAAAATTTTAAATACAGTTTACAACAGCAAAAAACATTCAATATTTTGTATATTATTTATAAAAAGTGATAAAACTCAAAAACTTATAATTGAATAATTATTTATGTAATACTTGTATTATAGTAACTGTATCTAATGATTGGATTGTAATGATAATCACATCAGTATAACTGGCAGGTCATGAGGTATTGTATAACTAGTTATATAGTAGAATAAAATCTGATATTGAGGAAGTACAAACTTTAAATAAGTTCTTGTGATCATATAAATTTGTTGAAATTGAGAAACAAGAAGTTTATTTGAAAAGATCTAAACAGAGAGATAGCATGAATTTTTGATAGTATTACTATAAAAGTTAGTTTTATAAAACAGATATTAATATAAAAAAATTAGACAGATAAGAATCTTTGAATAGGAAGTATTACCAATCAGGTTATCAGAATGAATTAGAAAAAAAGAATATCATATTAATCTAATATATTAATAAACTGGTTGTGGTCTTATCAAGTTATCTGAATTGGAAATCTGATAACAATACAGAGTATACTAAAGTATTTCTAATATGATATGAAATAGTACTAAGGTTTAAGTAAACTCTATAAGGATATAGTAATTTAATAATTAGTTCTGATTACAAGTATTAGTTCTGTTATAGTAATATTGAATCAATTATAAAAATAAATACAGAAGGTTTTAGAAGATTTATTTTAATGATAAAATAATTTTAAGCTTGAAATAATTATTTAAGTATAATTCAGTAATGTTAATACAAGTTATAAGTTCAGAGAATTTAAAATAAAAAATATCCAAACAAAAGTATTAGATATAATAATTAATAAAAATCTTTAAATAAACTTTTTAAATAGATAATATAAAAAAGTTATATATATAACTAATTGTACATTCTTTTTGTAATGGTTTATAAAATCATATTATTAAAAAACATTAATAAAAGTCAAAAAACTAAAGAAATCATCTTAAAAAAAAATTAAAAACTTATAATATAATTAAAAATCTTTTCTAATAAATTTATTATAATTTAATAAAATTACAATTTGGTTAAAATAAATTTTTATTTTTTTAATAATTTATAAAATAAAAATGTAGTGACTTAGTAAAGTAAATAAATTATCAACCTTCTAAGTAATAGGTTGTAAGTTCAAAACCTACTAATAGTAAAAATTTATATAATTACTATATAATATATAGATAGTATTATAGCAATAGCATTTTATTAATTAGTTAAGATAAAATACTTATAATTATAATCAAATTAGCAAAACTAATAGATTATAAGATATTTGTATATTCTTGGTTAGTATAAATTTAAAATAAGTCCTTATAGTCATATAAATTTATAAAGTTAAAAAACTAAAATTTATTTAAAAAAATCTAAATAAAGAAGTAATACAAATCTTTAAAATATTACTGTAAAGACTAGATCTAAAAAATAGATACCAATATAAAAAAATCAAATAGACAAAACTTTGAATAAAAGGTATTATTAAATAAATTACTGGAAGTCTTAAACCAAAGAAAAAAAATATCAAAACAGATTTAATATATTAGAGACAAATTATAGTTATATTAGGCTATCTGAATTAAGAATTTAATAACAAAAGCAGATGTATATTATAAGTATTAAAAATATGCTATAAAGTTAGTACTAGAATTTGGATAAATTCTGCAAAGATAAAACTTGTTAACAAAGACTAAATATAAATAGCTAGCTAACAGAAGGTCTTTTTGAAGCTTTACAGTTAGATAACATATTCTGAATATATAACAGCTTAAAAAATATACAGAAATGGAAATTAAGATTAGGTTAGATGACATTTAGATATATAAAAACTTATATGCTATCTGTTAGATATAGTATAAAAATCAAAGTGTTTAATTAGATAATCTTCTAACAGATTACAGATATGGCAACTAGTATAGAATCTATAGACAGACTATTTAAATAAATATTTAAAAACTATATGTATAACTAGATGCATACTTAGCTTATATAAGTTATATAATTATAATTAAAAATTACAATAAAAACAGTAGCTGCTGATAACTATAACCTTAACAAAAATATAAAAAAAACAATTTATAGTTATTTTAGTTTAAAGTTTATATATATATATTTTAAAATTTGGTAGTTAAGAGTATAACAACTTAGTAAAGTAAATAAGTTGTTAATCTTTAAGTAGTAGGTTGATATTCAAATCCTATTAATGATAAAAAATTTAGATAATTACTTATATAATATTTGTATTATAGTAACTGTTTCTAATAATTAGGTTAAAATATCTGTAATAGCAATCATACTACATTAGCAAAAAATATAAGTGAAATATTGTGAAAGATTTTGCATACTGAAAATCTTTCAAAATAACTGCGATTGATATGAAATTCTTTCGAAATAAAAAAATTTCGTAATATTGCGAAATAATCGAAAAAATTTCGCAATATTGCGAAATATTTGAAAAAATTTTACAATATTGCGAAATTATTAGCAAATTTTCAAAATAATGCAAAATAATTGGAAAATTTTCACATTAATACGAAACAATTAGAAAACTTTCACAATAATGCGAAACAATCAAAAAAATTTTGCAATATTGTGAAATAATCAGAAAATTTTTAATATTACTATATAATTAAAAAATTTTCAAAACTGTTTATTAATTTATTTAATTTTT